TTTTTGTGTTCAATTGTGCGTCGTGGTAATCTTCGTTGGTTTGCTATATGCAAGTATAAGTAGTTTAATAATTACGTCTTTTCGTATATTAAGTCGTACTCTCTTTTTTATAATTTGTTTTTTGATAATATTGCTACTATCAGCATACGCTTTAAAACATTAGCTAGTTTCTTCTTCCACTTGTTAGAGACTAACCTCTAGTGGCTTACTTTGAAGAATTTAACCCCGAGTACTTTTTCTAATATGTCTTCTCCTGGTGCAACCAATGTAACTTCAAAAAAAGTTGCTGTCCGTTCTGGTGTTAGTACGAGATCTTCAAGTACTACTTCCAATGAAGATTTAATGCAAATTATTTTGTTCTTCAAAGCTAAAGTCTTCGCTTCCAATAAAGCACTTTCTGACTCGCAATCTTTGCAGTTCAATACACTTAAAGCAGAAATATTAAAAGTTTCTGAGCAAGTGAGTGAACTCAAAGCAGAGAATATAATACTCAAAAGAGATATTGGTTCACTTAAGGCAAAAATTAGTAGTCTTGAAGAGAACAACTCGTCTGCTAACCCATCCACAATCACTAGCCAGGTTTTGTAAGAACTATTTGAACGAGATCGTTGTTCTTCCAATGTGATTGCTTATGGTGTATTAGAGTTTACTTCTTTAACTAGTTCTGAGAGAGTTCTACATGATGAATCCATGATTAAAAATATTTTGTTGCCGGTTAGAAATTACCTTCCAACAAATCGGATTGGGAAACCACGTCCAGGTATTACCCGCCCACTTAAGCTAATATATACTAACAAAGAGGAAGCACAATTTTTGCTGTACCATACAACCAGGTTAAGCGGTCAGGTACTCAATTCCAAAATGGTTTTAATCTTGTCAAGGATAAAACCAAATTTGAACGACAATTATTACGTGCTTGTTANCAAATTTGAACGACAACTATTACGTGCTTGTCACAATGATCTGTTGTCTCGTACAGCTCAAGGTGAAACAAATCTACGTATATATTATGAAAATGGTGTTCCATCTGTGGTCAAATCAATTCCAAAAAACCGGGTCCGTGAAAACATACCAATCGACAACCAGAGATTCAGCAAATTTCTCAACTTTCATAGTTCAGCCATGTACACTAGGTTTGCATGAGCATATATATTTTTATAATAAATGCCAAGTCCACTCTTAGTACTTTTATATTAGATTTCTACAATTTTAAAATTAATAAGTCTTGTCCTCGTGATTTACTTACAATTAGCTATACTACATCGAATGATAATGTTCCGTTTGGTTTTTACCAAAACTGTCGTGGTCTTAGGACTAAATTTTTTACTCTTAAGTGTAATCTTGCCAGCTTTAATTATGTATTTCTTGTTTTAACAGAAACCTGGCTTAATTCTGATATATTTGATTCTGAATTATGTTTGGATAATTATAATGTTTACCGATATGATAGAAGTATTTTAATGAGTAATTGTACTAGAGGTGGTGGTGTCCTTATTGCTGTGCATAAAGATTTTCATTCACAAATTGTTTCTATCTCTAATTTAAGTATTGAACAAATTTATGTTAGTTTTAGTTGTAATAATGACAATTTTATAGTTGGTGGTGTATATTTTCCTCCTAACTCTCCTAATCAATCCTATGATACTTATTCTAGCACAATTAATAATCTAGTTTGTTGTTATAGCACCCATAGTTTTATTCTATATAGTGACTTTAACTTACCTAATATTAATTGGTCTAATGATAATTTAGGTATTTTCTATTCAATATCTACCGAAAACAGCCTATTTTGAGACTTTTGCTTTCTTAAACTTTTATCAAGTTAATAATGTTTTGAACGTTTACAATTCAATGTTAGATCTTATATTTACAAATAAGAATCTCTTTAAAGTTAATATGGTGCACGATCCAATTGTTCTTGAAGATCGATATTATCCTGCATTAGCTATTGATTACCCAAAAAATAAAAAAATCCATTCTTTCATGCCGTTGAATCATATTTTAATTTTACGAAAGCAGATTATACACGTATTTCAGATTTTTTCCTATCTTATAATTGGTTGAATACTTTTACTCAACTAGGCGTTAATTCAGCAACATCAACTTTGTATGATGCATTACACTTCTCTATTCTTCACTGGGTTCCACGTGTTAACTATAATAAATCTAATTTTCCTTGATGGTTTTCAAAGGATTTGATTGATACAGTGTTCCAAAAAAGAAAAGCCTACGCCATTTTTAAGGCAACACGTAATTCACTCGATTACAGAAAGTTTTCTCTACTACGTGCAAAATACAAATTTTAATCAAAAAATTGTTACAGAAAATTTATTGAACAGACTGAATCTAATTTTTGTATTAATCCAAAAAATTTTTGGAACTTTGTAAGAAAGAGTAAATCACAACAGTCAATTCCTAAAACAATTAATTTGAATGGGTTTACTAGTACTAATAGTATAGAAGTTGCTAATCTACTTTTTAAACTAGATAATTTCATTATCTAGCCATATAGTCAAACTTTTTGATTTATTAGTATAGCATTCTATTAAACCAGCTATTAATTCGGTTTTAATTGATGAGTAACATGGATTTCATCTTGGTCGCTCAACGACTACAAACAGTCTAGTTTTTACTAATTACATATTTGAGGCTTTTATGAATCGCTCACAAGTAGATGTAATTTACACAGACTTTACCAAGGCTTTTGATCGCGTTGATCATAAGTTATTAATGAGAGTGCTGATAGATTCAGGTTTTGGTGAACTATTATTGTTGTAGTTTGAATCTTATCTACGAGATTGTAAGCAATTTGTTAAGGTACAAGGTATAAAATCAGATATTATTGATGTACATTCTGGTGTTCCACAAAGTGGACATCTTTCTCCCTTGTTATTCACATTATTTATCAATGATATTAAAAGTTCACTTGTTAACTGCCATTTCCTTCTCTTTGCTGATGACCTCGAACTATTTTTAAAAATTAATTCATTTAGGTACTTCTTATTATTACAGGACGATCTTAATTCTCTGGTAAATTGAGCTAAAAATAGTGGGTTGGAGCTGAATATTTCAAAATGTCATTCAATGTCGTTTTATAGAACTCGTGATCATATTAATTACTTGTATAGGGTTAATGATAATATATTGTTATCTTCGTGCAATATGATAACTGATTTGGGTATTGTTTTCGATCGGGAATTAAATTTTCATGCTCACCTAGACAAAATGTGTTGCAAAGCATTTACGACATTAGGTTTTATTAGGCGAATTTGTAATGATTTTAGTTTAGTATCTTCTTTAAAAACTTTGTATTGTTCTTTTGTGAGGTCAATTTTAGAATATGGTTTGATTGTTTGGGATCCAGTTACTGCATGTGATATGATGCAAGTTAAACGAGTGCAACGTAAATTTTTAAACTTTGCGGCATATAAATTAAAAATTGATCATCCACCACATGACTATACACCAAAAATGCAACTATTCAGTTTGTTTACGTTAAATGACAGGAGACTTGAAGCTAATCTAACTTTCCTCAGGCGTTTTATTGATGGTCATATAGACTCTCCTGAACTATTAGAGCTCATCAAATTTGAAGTTCTATCTTTTCACGCACGTCTTTTAATTCTTTTTTCTGTACCTAAATGTAATACCAACTACCTAAAAAACCAGCCATTTTATAGAATGATGAGTATTGCTAATAAGAACCCATCAGCTTTATTATATTATTAATTGTTGTATTTTTGTATTTTATATTATTATTGTACATATAAGTTGAGTTTATTATACTGAAATTTGGTCATGTGCCGTATTGAGAATATAAATAAATATTTTAAATTACAAAGACGTGGGACTTGGGGGTGCTTAAAGTAAAGTTGGGGGTGCTTCAGCACCCCCTAGCACCCCCGTAGTTGCGCCACTGGTCATGTGGCTATAGAAACACTACATTATTAAATTAATTATATTATTATTAATAATATTGTAAAATTTAAATTAAAATGTTCCATGCAATTAGCATTTATTTGCTACTATAGTTATTATACAATAATATACATTTCGCTTATTATTTTCTGGTACAATTTCTCATATTTGACAAATGTTATTAATACTCGAATGATAATAGTCATTCATTAAGTAACATAAAATTAATAGTGTTTAATACAAATGTACATTTTTGAAAAAGTTTTCTCAATTGTTAGAATATATATTTATCTTTGAGAATTTTATTTTTTAATTATCCAATAATTACAAAATATTTTCATCAAATCAAAAAACTGTTAACTGTTTTTTCAGTTGATCCACAAAATTTTATCTAACCGTAAATTATCTTTTAACATCTAAGAGATCCATTTGAAAACTAATTTTTCTATAACAAATATGTGCTGTAAAAATTGTCATATGCGANTTGAAAACTAATTTTTCTATAACAAATATGTGCTGTAAAAATTGTCATGTGCGATTTTACTAGTGATTAATTCTTAAGTGTGTAATATTAAAAAATAATGACTAATATAAACATAAAATTGTTAATATTTGTACAATATAAAATTGGGTGTTCTATGTCCAATTTGATAATATGGATAAGTGTCTTCGGGAAGAGTTAAAATAATATCTTATTATCCAATAATTTTGGATGTAGTGCAATAGGACCTCAAGGTTAAAAAAGAAATTTCTTCCATGTGTTCCTCATCATTCTTGGGGATGACTGGATTTTTTCCTGTGCTACATTAGGATATCTAAGTATAAAATAACACAGTATATCCAACTTCAATTCAGTAATTGTTGAACTAATAAAATATGTATCTAAAATACAGTTTCATTTTATTTTATCATGATAAACTATAACTATAAAATTATATTTATAATAATTCGTATTTTTTTATTAAATCAGGTGTTTATCAAATAGTTATATGACTATTATTTCTTACATGTGTATGAATAGTTTGACTAAAAATAATAATTTTAAATACTTTAATATTTGCTTTAAGTACTGTTTTTATATTTAAAAATATAGAAGTAGGAATAAATTATGTTAGTAGTTGTTTTTATATTACTGCATATATTCTCATATAATTAAAAACTTGTCAATTGCTATTCAGAATAATACACTAAACAATTAGAAAAAGAATGAAGGTGAGTAATACACATTTATTGAGGTGATCAATTGAAATCCTTAAAATTATATTATTATGTTCTAGTTTTGGCAATTGATATCGCTTTTGTTGATAATAATTTGTGTGATTTTTAATGAAGGTAAAATCTATTTTACATTATTTACACAATTTTTATATGTATTTTGTTTATATGTTCGCCTATACAATTTTGAATTTCTATAGTCTCAATATTTGTATGTAAAATTCACGAAGTTGTTTTATAGTTTTAAACTATGAAACATTTATAAATAAATTTTAAAATAAATTGAGAACATTATTAATTGACGTCAATCATTAATTATTATAATTTATTTAATTATGTTAACTTAGTTTGTTAATTAATGTAATTTTACTATGACGACATCACAATGACGTACATTTTGTGTCTGTTGGCTCAATTTTATATTTATCGACGTCTCATTTAACAAATCGATAAAAAAATAAAAATTTTATATCACTTGAAAATTGAAACAAAATTTTTTTGTTCCTTTTTATCCAAAAATAAATTTAGTAAGGGTGCAGTACTGAACCAGTACTGGCTATTACAGTCACAATACTGATATTTTGTACTATGACTGTACTGGCACAACTCACAAATGATAACGCTATTCTGTACTGACAGAAATATTGTAGTTATATTAAGTATTGCCTCAGTACTGTAGGTCAGTCGGATTCTATATTAGCTTAATAATGGTACAGTACAGGCCCAATAATAACTTATTACTGGTTTTAATCATAGTCGAGTGCAGATTCTGTAAAACATTAATAATGGCGTAATACAGATCCTACAATGGCACATATAATATATACGTAAAAGACGATTACGGTTTGTAATACCGCTCCTCCTTAAATGTATATATTTTTATTGCGCGTTTTTAAAATTTTATACGTACACATTTAAGATAAAATCTAACTCTTATTTAAGAAATTCAGATACAATTATAAATTCTAAATTATATATATATATATATTTAAATTATACATATAATACTTTTTTAGCTTCGATGCGAAGCTGAGAATTAATTTTACTATAATGTGTTTTTTTTTTTTTTTTATGTCTGTTGCCACTTTTTCTCAGCTCGCACTGGACCGATTTCTTTCAATAATACGTCAAAAGATCACAAATCGTATCTAGTTGAAGACATTACCCTTAAAAATTGAAAAAAATTCCCTCGTTCCCCGCAAATGGGGGAAATATCCAAAAAAATTACAAATTTAAAAATCGCTAATTTTCGAAATTTTTTCACTTTTTTTTCTTAAAACTTCCATAACTTTTTGAAAAATCAACAAATCAACATAATTTTTTTTTATACTAAAACCTTAGATATTTACCTTTCATTTGATATCATTTTTTTGAAAATCTATCACTTAACCTGCTCATTGGGGGGGATTTAAAATGGCAACTTTTTTACAAAAATTAATTTTTTCAACTTAATTTTTGAAAATGTTCCGGAAAGACTGCGTCCTTTAAACATATATCAAATTAAAGCTTATTTTATGTACTACAAAATGAAAAAAAAAAATTTGTCCCGACACTTTTTTTTCTACATTTAAACGGCTGCCGTAGTTAAAAAAACACTATTTTTGTGTTAAAATTTTCGATTTTCGATTTTAAATTTTCAACTTAAAAATGCTATAACTTTTTGAAAAATGTATATATCAGCACAAATTTTTTTTTTCTAAATACATTATAAGTACATCTTTCATTTGACATACTTTTTATTAAAATTGGACAATTTCCCCTTATATAGGGGGCGTTCAAAACTTAAAATATTGTAAAAAACATAGATCTTTTTCAACTGAACTTTTGAAAATGTTCCGGAAATACTGCGTCCTTTAAACATATATCAAATCAAAGGTTATGTTATATACTATCAAATGAAAAAAAAAAATTTGTCCCGACATCTTATCTTCTATGTGCAAATGGCTGTCGAAAATTTAAAAAAAAATGTAATGTTTGCGATAAAAATTACATTTTATCGGGATGTTTTTTGTACTTAAAACTGCCATAACTTTTTCAAAAATGAACAAATAAAAATAATATTTTTTTGTATTGAAACCTTAGATATTTCCCTTTCATTTGATATAATTTTTTTTGAAAATCTAACACTTATTCTGCTCACTGGGAGGATTTAAAATAGTAACTTTTTTACAAAAAATAACTTTTTCAACTTAATTTTTGAAAATGTTCCGGAAATACTGCGTCCTTTAAACATATATAAAATTAAAGCTTATTTTATGTACTACAAAATGAAAAAAAAAAATTTGTCCCGACGATCTATCTTCTATACGCAAATGGCTACCATATTGAAAAATATACTATTTTTGTATGATAATTATGGGTTTTGTATTTTATTTTAATAGAAGTTGATGTTGCTTTTGCAATTATCCATCAATTTTTTAAAATTAAACACTATCTACAGATTTGCATCGAAGCGTTTCTTATGATAGTGATTTTAATCACTGTCAGATTAAATCTACACTGGACCCTACTATGCAATGTCTCCACTATGCCGCGACCCCACTGTGCTACCGTTTTTTTTAATTTACAAATGTAAATGAATACAAAATTTCATTAAGTTAAAGAAAAAAATTATAGAATTAGAATTTATTTCCTTCGTTCTTTACCCCCCGTTTCGGTCCTTTGCTACTGTAAACCATCAACAAATAGCCATTGATATGTCTTTGGACGCCATGTCTTGAAATTTTCTGTTAACTACATCTAAAAAATCAAAAACACAAATTTTGTTAGTTTTTTCAAATTTAAAACTAAACAAAGTAAGCTAATGTAAAATCATAAATTTTCAATGTTATATTTATTTTCATACAATTTTTCTTATCTATTACATATTAATTAAATGGTACTACCGTAGAATTTTTAAGGTCTTATCTGTTCTGTTTATCAATAACTTGGCATTATAACATAATTATCATGTCATATTTAAAATTGTTGTTAAAAACTTCCAAACATAAATTTGCATGATTTATTTTTTAAATATTAATAAAAAAAAAGTAGGTTAATGTTTCCTAGTATTTAGTGTTTTTGATGTATCATTAGATATATATTTACTGAATATACTATTTTTAATAATTAAAAAGTATTATACCTTATGTACATATATCCCACATTTTATATTACCTTTATATACTTTTAACTATATTTCTTATAAAATAATTAATTTTGTAAATTTTTATTAAAAATTTTAGGTACAAAGATGTCTAAGGAACCAGATTTTAATAAATTTAAATTAAAACAAATTTTGATGAATGATACACAACGAAAGATGGTAGCTATAGAAGGTAGTTTTGAAGGTAGTTCAGAACCAGCAGTTGTAGTTATGGAAAAATATGGTTTTGACAATATTTCAATAATGAATATTTGTAATCCTAGCACTAAACTTGTTAACGATATAGATAATGATGTTTACAAATCATTCAGTTGTGTTCCACAATATAATGGTAGTATTTTTTTTTGTTAAATATAATGTAGTGTAATTATAATCAAATAAAATTCTGAAAATAATTAAACTGTTAATCAAATTTTCAATATAAACTAGAGACTGTTTTAATATATATATATATACATAAAAGTATTTCCATTTAGAGATCTGAGTAGGTTTGACAATATATATTATATATTAATGTCAGCGATTCCTTCGATTGTGATTCAGTGATTGTTCATAACCATTTCTTTCACTTTTTCCACGTTTTCATCATGTGCTTGATCGTCTAGGGCATTTGTCGTCTTTAATCTTTCACGGCCACCTTGGAAACACTTATAGCACTCTTAAATCCTCGTTTTAATCATAGTAGACTCATCATACTGACAAAGTAAAAAATGACTTCAGCTGAAAATTTTATTATACTCCATGGACATATGTATCTACATTATGAAAAAAAAATGTTGATAATTGGATTCTTCAAACCCACGAAATTTAAAAATTCCCGTTATTTTCTGGATACATCTCGTTCATTTATTGTGAGATTCAACCATATAACTATTGTTCAATTTACAAAATAGAAGTATACATTTTTAGCATATAATAAAATAAATGAAAAACAAATTACCCTTTCAATAACTTTTTATTACTTTTATAAATACTAATTTGATTGTGTTTTCATTTGACACATCTTTCAAAATACTAAAAAATATGAAATATTTTAATTTGCCAATAAATTACCTATACTTCATTAAATACTTACTATTATTAAATTAAATTGATTGTATTAACTTTATCTTAATGAGAATATAATTATATTTTTAGAAAATGTTTTTTCCAACAAGATGGATTTAATATATCCAGCTACTCAAAAACATATTTTAAAATTTTCTACTCAACCATTGTACCTTGTGCAAGAAACCAGTGAAATATATCAAGATATTACACTTCCCTATATATTAGGAAACAGCTTATCACTACAAGTAAATATTTAAATTAAAGTATTTTTTTTGGTCCAACGTTTGTTTAAAAATAAAACACTTTCAAAATATAATTGAGTATGAATTTGTAATTCTAATGTATATTATTTTTAAAAACATATATTTAAATTTTATACATTCTGAAGTTAATGTTGTTGATTATAAGTTAAAGATTAAGTTTATATAAGAGATATAATTTTTCAAGATAATGAAAACTATCTGATAATACTTTATATTAATTTAGTACCTTTTTGATAAAATTATTATCTGAATCTACATCATTTTACTGTAGACACATTTTATAGAAAAATTTTATCTCTAAATGTTTATCAATTGATTGAAGTGGCCTATACAGTTTGGTTTGAAAGCACATTACGTGCTCGGTGCATAGGTTTTATCCTAGGTTTGAATCTGTTCCTCTTAGTTTTACAAATTTTTGTATCTCCTTCAATATAAACATATTTTTTACAAGAAACGATATTTATTATAAATCAAAGTAAAAAAAAATATATTGAAATAAATAAAAATTATAATTTTTTATTAATTGCACTACTTTAAATTATTTAAATTATTTAACTATTTGAAAAATTAATTTTTAAATTATAAATTAGTGGGTGTATAATTGCTTAGAGTACACATCAGAAAAAGAAAGAATAAAGTATGATACAGCTTCTGAGAATGACAAAGATGATCACATAAATGGATTTTTACTTATGCCTGATATGAAATGGTCTGGAAGATTAGATGAACTCTACTTATTAGCTATTATTAAAAGAAGAAATATTAAATCTCTGAGAGATTTAACAGCTGAACATTTACCTCTACTAAAAAATATACTAAATAAAGGATTGGTAATAAAAATATTAAAATTTTTACTTCTCAAACATTTTTTTTTAATTTTGTAACTTTAAATTTCAGGCAGCTATATATAAATTATATGGAATTCACTCTTCTCAGTTACGTATATATATTCATTATCAACCATCATTTTACCATTTCCATGTACACTTTACATACTTAATGCATAATCCACCAGGTATTATTATTATGTCTATCGTAATATAATTTATCTAATTGTCCACTAAATTTATTTAAACAATTTTCCATGTATAAATGTTTTATATTCTTAATAAAAATATATCTAACAGACAGATTATTCATAGGCAGATTAAACTCCCTATTTACCTATATGGATGGGGATAACAATAATAACTTCACAAAAACCTGAGTAAATAAAAATTTTAAGAATAATATAATAGTTTTATATATTTACAATGTGATAAATTTATCATAAACCACTCAATTATTCTCTAAATAAATACAATATTGAAAAAAATGTTTACTTTATTTAAGTTACTTATATTTTTTAATTTATCAGCTTATAATTAGTTTTAAGAATCATACCTTATAACTTAAAAGGGTGTTCATATTATTTTATTGTTGGCAACATTTATTTTTATTGTAACCTATATTTTTACTAGCTTATAAATTAGAAAGAAAGAATAATCTAATTAAGAAAATGACTTGTTGATAAGAACTTTATGACCATTAGTTTTGAAGTTATTAACATTTTTATACTTAGGAAAAAAAAAGAGTATGCCCAGAAAATGACTAGTGATAAAAATAGCAGCACTCACTCACTTACTCACCTCCAGTTATTACTTTAAATTATTAATAACTTCTGAAATACTGGTCCAAAAGTTGTTATTGACCAGTCATTTTCTTAATTACATAATTATCTAATAAATTAGCTAGTTAATTATGTTTATTGTCATTTTAAAAAATAAAGTTGATACTCCTAGAAGTTATTAGGAATGAAAAAGTAATTATTAGCTGATAAATCACAAAATATTTGTAACTAAAAGAAATTAAAAATTTTGGTATTTTTTAAGTTCATATATTCTTGAATTAATCACTTATTACTTACTTTTGAATTCATCTTTTATATTTTATAATGGTGTCAACTTTATTTTTTAAATATTATCATTTATATTTAACTAGCTTATAAAATAAATGATTCAATTAAGAAAATGACTGGTCAATAATAACTTTTGAAAGTTATTATTATTTTAAAATATAGAGTAGAGATTAAGTATGGTTTATGTTATGTTGAATGAAATAGATTATGTAATTATAATAGTTATAACTTATGTATAATATAAAGAATTGTACAAAGGCAATGTGTTTCATATTCAAGATACAATGAAAGATGACTAAAACTTATAACTATTCTAATTATATTATGTTAACTGCTGCATCGTAAAAGGAATGTAACTCTTTAACCTTTGTACTATGCTAATGAATATGAATATACATTCTAAACTATATGCTATTTTAAATGTACTAAAATTTAATTATTCTGTCTAATGTGTTGTTTAAATAATATCATCAGTTATTTTTATCATTAGACATTTCTTGACAGCAACCTTTCTCTTTTCTAAGTATAAAAATGTTAATAACTTGAGGTTTTGAGCAAAAAAATTTTTATCAAGCAGTCCTTTTTTTAATTAGATCATTTTTTATTTTATAAGCTTATTAAAAATATGTTATTATTTAGAAAAATTTAGTTGACTCACTTATACGGGATCAATTTAAAAAAGTAAGCAGTAACTGATAATTCGAGTATACAGCTGATTGACTAACTATACCTCACGAATTTTCTTTAAAAATATTAATATTATCATATATGTAATAATTTTATTTGTTATCAATCTTTGTTGAGCTACATGATAAGAAAAATAAAGATTCCATTTTCATCCCTTAAGACTCAAATCAATATCAGGTTTAGTTTTTCAAATAGCAACTCAGTTTTTTTTTTATTAATCTTATTAATCATAAAAGAAAAAATCAATTCAATAAATTCTAAACGAGATATATCACTATTTAAAGTTTAGGAGATTTAACAAATAAAACAGTAGTTGGGTAAATCAGTGACATTGATATTTAGTGTATAGATAAGAACTATTGGTGTATTGTTCCGCAACTTAAAATTTGCGCGACTTTTATAAATCAACGTGAGTAATACTCACGTCCCCTAAACATCAATGAACTATAGCTCGCTTATAATTAAAAAAAATTTTTACAAAAAATTGTTTTAAAACTAAATCTAATCTGATTATATAAAAAAATAGGGTTACCATTTGAAAATTGAAAGCTGATACTGATTTAAAGCATAAGGTATGATCATAAAAATGTAATTTTACTCACTGAGCAGCCCAAAATAGAAAAATAATATTTCATAAAGAAAAAACAGTTAACTTATATTTTCAGAAATAATTTATGAGGCATAGTTAATCAATCACCCTGTATGGTACTAAAAAATACTAATAAAAATATTATTAAAGTAATAATAACAACTATTATTATGTTAAGGGAAATCGACTGGTTAGCATTAAAAGAATCGCCCTATATTTTTATGAATATTTATTAAAAATATATGATGGAAAAATAATTGTCCTTTACTTAGTTGATAGTTGCATAATAACAAATATATATGTAATAACATATATATATGTTGTTCAATAGGAATAAATGCAGAAAAAGCACACCTGCTAACAACTGTCATCAATAACATTGAACTTCAAAACAATTACTATCAAATTTCAACACTAAATTTTGTTGTGAAAGAAGGTGACTCATTATTTAGAACATTAGAAGAAAAAGGTAATATACAAGTTAGCAACTAAATACTGTAAACATACAAAACCCCTAACCAAAAATTCAGAATTTGGTTAGAATTTTATTACTAAAAAAACTGTGTTATTATCTGTATTATATAAATTATAAATTTTACAGTTCCTCCAAAATTAGTTGTTATAAAACATTTTAAAGATTAAACCCTTTGACTTAGTAGCAAAGTTCACCTTTGTAATTCACACTTTTTACTTCAAATTATTTTTAAACAATTTTACAATCATAAATTATTATATTTTCTTTGTGACCAACAGCCCATTTTAACAAAATTATATAAATAAACTTATTTATTTTTTAATTTAATAATTAATTGTAAAATAGTTAGAAATATTTTATATACATAAGATATCTTAATCATACAATGTTCCTTGTTGCATATGTGTAACAAGGAACATATACCATTGTACCAATAAAGTACACTTTATTGGTAAAAAAATTGACTAAATCAAAAAAAAATGTATGCATTAATGATAGGTTTGATGTACTTGATATTAGGGTTGCCATAATATTAATTGACTGGTCAAAATAAAAAATCTGTATATAAATTTTGAATTTTTATACAACATTCTTTTTGCACATTTTGTAAAAATTTTGTTTAACTTTTTTCAAGGCTAAGTTCTAGCATATCAAAAAAAAAAAAAAAAACATCACAGGGGGGGGGTTGCAACACAGTATAGACCAGAGGTTCTCAAAGTCAAATGAATCACGGACCCCATCTAAAGACCTAACCCTCATATGTGCTCGCGGACCCCTGGGGGACCGCGAACCACACTTTGAGAAACTCTGGTATAGACAAAACATGGTTGGGACAAATATAAATGATATCTGACAGTGATAAAAATCACTATCATAAAAAACGCTTCGATGCATATCTGTAGATAGTGTTTAGTTTTAAAAAGTTCGTGGATTAAACCAAAAACAAAAAGAATTCCTATTTCCTTTATTATTCCTGATTAGTAGTTTTTTGATTAAGAAATATAATATATAAATAAATATTTATTATGACAATTAAATTAGTATGAGATTGATATTTAATAATTTATTATTGTAATTTTTACAGAAAATTATGAAAAAGTTATAATGTACTTGTTACTTTTATGGCAAACACATATAAAAATTGAAGGGCTTGTTACAAAACTTTTTATTTGTTGTTAATTAGTTTAGTTTAGTTAGAATAAATGGTCTACAAGGCATTTTCATCAGAGTCAAAAATATACTTTTTTAAACACACTTTTTGCGCTAATTTCAAATCTGCAATTATATTTTTTCTATCGCCGATAATTTTTTATTTTATTACTAATTAGTTAAAACTATAGAATATAACTATATGGAGAATAATTTTGTATATTTCAATTGTATCATTTATTTAAACACCAAGAGTTACATAGAAATTATTAGTATTTTTAAAATTATATATTATGATAAAAAAATAATTAAAAACAAATAAAATTGTTTTGAAATTATTACAGATTTTGATTTCAAAAATATATAATATTTTAACATGGAATATTTTAAGAATAATCAGTGCAAAATATAATTTTTAACTTATTATTATTTTTTTTTAAATTGATTTTTTGAAAGTTTATATAAAAATAAAGTTTAATTTGTTACCATAACTTTTAGCTAAACCTCAAGTTGAGTAAATTTCAAGAAATTTACATTATTAAATAGAAAATTTTATGAGAATTAAAAAAAATAGTATTGTTAAGATTAAATACAGTCAAGAAATTGTATAATTACTATTTATTGTAAATTTATCAGAAAATTTCAAATTTTTTTTTGCATTTTTATTATAATAGAACACTTAAATAAAAAGCATAGTAATCATTTCTATGTAACTTTTGGTGTTTAAAAATATTCTAAAATTTAAATATTCAGAACTTAATTAATTTTAATGATTTACTTTATCTAACAAACCATTCAAAATGTTGTTAAAAATATATATTCAATTGAACGTATATTGAGATTTTATTATTATTGTTAATATTTTTTGTTAAATTCAGGTGATACTAAAAATAATTTTTTTTACATTTATGATTTATATAGCAACATGTTACAAAAAAAATTGGGATATTATAGAACCTAATTCGACAACAAATACTTTAAAAGTATTAGAAATTAATGATATTAATTGTCTGTATGGAGAAAGCTGGTTAAGCAACTTTTTATTTGATAAAGGAGATTTTTTTAAATATCTTCAACTAGATAATAGTTGTGATCATTTGATTTATTGTTAAAAATAAAAATTGTTTTTTTTTTTTTTATAGTATTTATTATAAGCTTTAATTTGACATATATTTAAAGCTCGGAGTATTTTCGGATCATTTTTAAAGCTTAAGTTGAAAAAATTAAAGTTTTCTGCAGAAGTTGCTATTTTAAATTCTTTCTGTAGGGAGGTAAAGGGTCGGATTTTCAAAAAATTTATATCAAATAAAAGGGAAATATCTAAGATTTTCAATATTAAAAAGAATTATTTTTATTTATTTATTTTTCAATAAGTTATGGTAATTTAAAAAAACCTAGCACAGGGGGTTCTCGGCACAGTGGTGACGTGCATAGTTGGATCAAGTATAATATCTGACAGTGATTAAAATCACTATCAAAAAAGCGCTTTGATGCAAATCTAGAGATAGTATTTAATTTTAAAAAATTGGTTTAACTAACTTCTGATATCATCCACTTAAGATACAGGGTAGTTGAGAATTAAGTATAGCTGTTAGATAACTTGGTGAGTAAGCTCTTGCTCTAGATAATGAAAGACATGCAATTCCCAGTCCGCTGTCATATTTGTTTCTCAGTTATAGTAGTTCTAGCACATTACAATTAAAAAAAAAGACTAACTTGTCTATCCTAAATATTTATTTAAAAACCAATACTTTGATTTGTTGTAGACTAAAATTAAAAAATAATAAAATATTTATTTGATCACTTGACATGTCAAAATCTAGTTAATTGGCAGTAATAAATTTTGATTGGCCAAAAACCTAATCCTACTTCAAATTTTAAGTTAAAATTTGATTAATTTTATTTGATGTACATTTATTATTTTTAGGTATTGTTTCTAAGGCACAAACAATTGGTTTAATTCCAGAATAATTTGATGTGGCAAATTAAAGTATATAACATTCATACATAAGTAAGATAATATTTATATCATATGTATGATTGTGTATTAGAACATTAATAATTCACTCAAAAATTAAGTTAACCAACCTACATATCAACAAGATAGATATTTTTAAATTAATATTTCCAATTAAAAAAAAGGTAGTGTTTATAATTTTATAAAAAAATATTCTATCAAAATTTCAAAAATGTCTTAACAATGAAATATTTTTATCAAAATGTAATTGTCATAGATTTTATTTATAATATGTTAATTTATTGTATTTTTTATGTGATATTTCCAATAAAAAAAAACAGTATATAATGTAAGGCATTTTCCAAACTATAGTTTTTTTTATTCATTGCTGAAAAAATCCAATAAATGAGTGCTATTAAATACAATGGTTACTTGACACTTATTTTATATAAACTATTAGCATTCAACTATTATACTTACAACTTTTAATCCCACTTTTATTTTATAAAAATAAAAATATTTTAAATATAATTTAATTAAATTCTAAACTTGTTTATGCCTAGATTAAAATCATAAAATACAATCATCTAAACTGAAATACAAAATTTATTTCAGGAAGAGGTAGATTAGTTGTTTTATGTTTTATTCTATTTAAACTGTGAAATAATTGTATAAAAAGGAAAATTTAATAAATATGTATTATTACAGATAATGCAGTTAAACAGTAAATTAGTACAGATTTTTATTTCAACTAAACTGTGATAGAATTAAATTTTGAATATTCAGAAGTATGGTAATTTATACTCATTTATCTTAGTTTAAAATTATTTTGGTAAGGCACATAAAATATTTGATCTACGTTTTGAGTAAAATAATCTAAATATACAAATAACGCTTAGAAATTAGTTATAACTAATATTATTTACAGTAATAGTATAGTTAGTTAAGTTTGTGTTCATTTCTAAACAAGTGTAGATAACAATAAATTAAAAAAAAATTTATTTTTCTCAAATTGTTAAAATATATGTTGTTTTTAACATTATTGATTTACCAATAATTTTATCAAAATATCATTATGAATTCTAAGCAAATAATATGTTGTAAATAAATCATCTATTTATAATCAACTGTTACAATAAACAAATCTAAATTTCTATGGCGGATCATTACTTATGTACATTAACATATAGTTTTTGATTGGTAGGACTACTCTACTTAATTCGTATTAGAAGACGCAAAGGTCACAAATTTAATAAAACTATAGTTACAAATATTAAAATTTAGTTAAATGTGTATAAGCCTAAAACATTCTTTGGAATGATGTAATTTTTATACCCGGTTATAAATGGAAATTTATATTAAATCTACTCTGCTCTTTATATAATATATATCACAATAACTTTCATAAAAAATAATTTATATTTTTTTCCTTAGATAGGAAACCTAAAATATACACCATATTGTTTCTTAAGTTTTATTTAAAAATAAAATATTTAACCATCTCCTCTTTCAGGATCATTTTTGCTATTAACTATCAATTGGTTATCTTCTGGAGATATGCGTACAGATCCTGAATTATTTTTACGATTTGGGTTATTCCAAACTTGTTCTTTTGCTGTACCTCCAAATTGAAACATAAGGTATGTTCCACAAGCTACACAGGAAGCTACAGCAAAAATCCTTCTCCACCTTTCTAATGTAGGCTAAAAAATAAAAATTTAATTTAATAATTGAAGGCTACAAATTAAAAATTATTGTATAAAATATTACATACATTGTCTTGAAGTATAAAGGCAGCTGCTAATGGTGATAAAAAACTTGCTGACATATGTATGGTCTGAGCAAAAGCTAATATAGGACCCGCAAAGTTTGGTGCAATATCAACCACATTGGCCATTGCACCAGCATATGATGCTGTAATTAGAGTTACAGCTATAAACCAAATTATTAATATTAATGTTATTTCACATCCCATATAACCAATAGTCAGAACTAGTAAACCAGGTAACACTTGAGCTATTCAATAAATAAAAAAAAATTATTTTATATTTGGCTAAAAAAAAAAACTTTGATACTCACAAAGGGCTGTAAATAACTTTCTCACATTAGTTAGACTCATGAGTTTATGAGTTATTATATAATCAGCCATATAACAAAAAACAACTGAAGATAAATAACTGCACAAAAATGGTGCTCCATTCATGAATCCATTCTAAAAGTATAAAAGTACAAATATACTTCAAATATGTTAAATAGGCTAAGTCTCTTCCCAACAATTCAGAAAATTATACTTATTGTTATATACAAAGAAGGTGAGGGGGAGATATTAAAATATACAGCAAACCTTTTGTATACTGAATCCTAAAACGGTTTTCATGTAAGATGGTCCATAAATAATAAAAGTGTAATGAATCCAAATTCGTCCAAAAGTTGTGATTCCAATGGACCAAGCTGGAATCGATGTCATAATAGAACACCAGGGTACTTTTAAATCCTATTAAAAAATTATTCAATTATTGAAATTGATATATTAGTTATGTTGAATCATTGACAATATTGTTAATCCCAATCAAAAAAAACAAGTGATTTTACTAACATATTTTTGAAACATAAAATAAATATTAAGCAACTTAAAACTGTCATTAAACATTGATAACAATAATTTATCAAAGATTACATTATATTTAATGAGATCACTAGTAATTAATGTGGTATGATTTGTATATAGTGATATAGACGAGGTTTTTTTTTTATATATTTTAATAATTAATGAATTGGTTATTAAAGTTTTAGAATGATATTTTCGTTTTGTCCTGAAAGAAACTACAATACCATTTCAGAAGTTATGATTTATTAAAAAAAATTATTTTAATGAACATTCTACTACATTGATGATTTAAAATTACCTGTGCTATCTTTCTATTGAGAAATATTCAATAATTGTCAAAATAATTCGATTTATTATTAAAATTTGTTATTTAAAAACTAGCGTTATTAGGACTTATTTAGGGAGGGACTTTAGCCCCTTGCCATTCTTCCTTTCCACCCACCAAAGTAAAAAATTATATTTATTGTTACATAAAATATAATTTTTTAAAGAAAAAAGAATAAATTTAACCTAGCTTTTTTTTATTATTTTAAATACTTAGAGTAATCTCGAGAGAAGTGTCACACCTCCTCACTCAACAATATTTAATAATTATAGTTGGAAATTTTCCAATATAAATTTATGCTGCCATAAGATAATAATTAGAAGAAATCATTATTTTAGAAAAAAATATTCAGCCGTCAAAAATGATTTTTTCCTCCTCCACGTTTACTTGGCGATCCTATTTAAAGGTCACAAATTTTGTTGATAGTTCTATGACACTACAGACAATACCCGTGTTGATATATCTATGATATCAGTCTTTCAAAACCTATTGTCTCGAGTTTGATTTCGAAATAGCCTCAAAACTTATAGCACCATTTATATACAGCATTAAAAAGTTAAGGAAAAAAATCTATTATTTTAATTATTTATAATAGTTAACCGGTTTCCTAACTTATTGAATTCCTATACATATTATACAGACTACTCTATGCATTTTTGATTAGGATAAAATATTGTGATACAATTATTAATGAAACTGTAAACATTTTTTGCTTATTAATTTACTTTAGGGCTGATGATATTCTCGCCTATGTTTGCATTGATGTAATTCAGTTCACGTCTTGTAATTCTTGGATGTTTGTGAGGTAAATCAAACGCCAGCAGCCACCATAGTAAACACCAAGCAATGCCCAATGATCCATTCATGTAAAATACCACTCGCCATCCATAATTACCAATAATGAATCCACATACCATGTACGTCAATCCGATTCCAAAGCTAAACCCTGTCACCCAGGCAACAGCTCAATTACCACCTAACCTAGACGCCAGTTACACACATATCACAAATAGACAGGTAGATAAATGTACGTGTTTACCCGTTACGACCTCCCTTACTGCATGTCAACACCAAATTCATAACTTGATCATTTTCTACTCAAAATTAATTTAATTTTTTTTTTTTAGATTAAAATTACATTTTATTGAGTGATATATAAAAAAATATGTATATTTTTCCAGAATATGTGATTATGATTCTATAAGATTCACACTATTTTAAAATATTCTTACAAATATTAAGACGAAACTTTTATAACATCGTATCATTTTTAAAACAACCTAACCTCATCTTAAAACATTCGATGCCTAGGGAAACAGAATGTGAATCTATAATTCAATGACTTATAAAAAGTAAAATGTCTATTCCAAATTTAAGAGTTAAAATACGTCAGTAAATACAAACTAAAAATATATGTGTTGTAATATTAGTTTACATGTCTGCAGAGACTAGATATTTAAAAATAAGAATATATTTTTATTAATTCAGAATTTCAGATTTATGGAGCTTAATTGTATATGAATTTTAAAATATAACATTAACATACTACAGAGTAAATAAAGTACATAGAAATTTAAAACGCAAGCCTCGTTGTGCCAAATGACTTATTACAAACTTCTTCGATCACAATTTTTAAATTGGCGTATAGCCAGAAAAATTCTTAACATTCCTATATCCTACTATTATCCCTCAATATATATACATTTATATATATGTATAAATGAAACTATTACTTTTCTGGGGTTAGAATTCTGCTGCAAGAGTGATTTTATAAAACAATCATTCCAACTTGTACATTTTCTTATACTCAGACCCGTATTATAAAATGTGTTACCGGGGATAACAAAAATTAATTTCAGTTTTGCCTTTTGAGAATTTTTTGGTTTATCCTGTCTATTTAGTGAGTAAAAAAAGGGATTTTTGGCTTAATTATTACCGGGGGAAATTTTGTGTCTAAATTAATCTCAAAATACGGGCCTGTTTATACTATCTATTTAAATTTTTTTATTATAAACATTTTTAAATAAAATATAAAATAATTGTATACCTTGAAATGATGACATGAATCTGCTCCGTTCATTAGATGGGATCCATATACCAACAAGAGCATACATAGCAGGCCAAGTTAACCCCTAAAAAATAAAATATTTAATATTTGTTTTATCTGCTTTAAAAAAAATTGTACTGCTTATTTTGGCTTCAATATATTTATACTCTCATTTAAATTTATTTTCAACTTACTGAAGCCATGCCTTGTAATGACCTGAGTGCTATAACAGCAGAATAATGTATTGAAGCTGCTTGTGGTATGAGCAATGAAGCAATAGCGGTTGCTAATTGAGAAAATCCAAATACTGTTTTAGAACCGAAGCGCTGTGTTAAAACACCTCCAACAACTTGAGATAATATGTAACACCAATAAAACGAACTGAGAATGGCCGATTGCACTGTAGAGTCCCATTCAAACTCACCGTCTTCCTGTAATAAGAGGTAACATTTAGTATAATATAGTTCGATCAAATTAAAATATAATATTTTACCATCGCCTTATTGTCTTCAATAACTGTTAAAGTGCTATTCACATTGGGTGCATAGCAATATAATTCAGTTATATTAGTGGAATTTTCAATTCTAGTTTTCATTTTAGCCATAGCTACCATAGCTAAATTTATGTCTGTGCGCATCATGAAGCTTACTAGAAAGCCGCTAAAAGACATCATATACAACACTGCACGAGCTGGTATCATATCTAATTATATAAAACATACATTTAATTAAAATAACTAAAAAAAATGAGTATGTACTCATATTTTATATGTTTGATCATATAATATACCTTGTAAGCTTCTAAAACAAAGTTTGCGTTTTTTACCCAGCATTCTGCTTTCTGAATCGTCCATAATTATTGACTACAGCACTACAACACAATTTTGCTATTTAATATGCTAAAAAAAAAATTCAACTTTATTTTTATAACTTTAAAAAAAATCATAATGATTTAAATAAATTTGTGTTTATAAGGGTCGTGAAATAAGACTACATTTCTTGTAGAGTCAAAAGCATAACTAAATATGAATAAATGCAGGAATACCACTGGCATCGTCGAATACGAATTTCCCTCACACCCACCATGTAACTTTGGGGATCATTAATTATCTTCCTCCATAGGCCACAAGAACGTATTTACGCCATTGTGTATAAAATTTGTGTTATGATATAATGAAACCATAGCTTAAAATTTAATATACACTTAATTTTTTTGTATAAATTAATTTAAATATAAAAAGGTCCCGCCCAGTTTTGATATTATTAATAACTTGATCTAGCCATTTTTTAAAATAATTTTTACATTTTTAGACTACGGTATAAAAATATTTTTTATTATTTGCCTCTAATAAAAAAAAAATATAATTTTTTTTTTTTTTTTTTATTTGAAAATTATTCATTATTTGCTATTTTTTTACAAAATATGTTAACCACCCAATAACAACTTTAGGGTAAAGTTGTAAAAAAGATGAAAGATGTAAAAACTTAGTGAAACATTGTATATTCATAATTTTATGCTTATTTTCTTCTACCTATCCCATTCCTAGTTTGTAATCGTCTTAGTGGAATTATAAATTTAATACATTTTTTAGTTGTAATAGTATATTTACTTATGGAGTTCCATAAAATATTAATATAAACTGTTTTTTCATACAATATTTTACAGTAAAACATATCATTATATAAAATGCTAACATGTATATATTTTTTTTGCGTCTACAGTTCAGCATGATTTCCATATCAACTAAATATTTGATAATGTGTTCAAATTTTGCTGATGACATGTTTACTTGTACGTTGTTAAGTATACAAAAATACTAGCTAGTATATAAATTCTATTCTTTGTAAAAAAAAAAATTAAAAACGTATTTTATGATTTTTTTTATAAATATATATATATAATGAGAATTCTGTTACTGATTAGCTCATCTGTATATGTTTACTTCTATTGTACAAATATATTGTATTATTATTCATACTTCATGTGTTTAAACAAATTTTAATATTTATTTCTTTAAAAAAATGGTTGTACAATTCAAACTTAAATGTAGATCAGTGGATATTAGGGAATCAACATGTGAGCTGTGGCTATCTTAAAAGAAAAAAAATAATTATTACACTACAACAAAATTTTAAAGACTAAAGAACTTTAAGATTCAATAGAAAATCTCTTTGAAGGTTTAAACATGGTGGTACCGCAGATAAAAATTCTGTTCCGCCATTGTTACTGATAACGTTCAATTTTTTTATACCGTTACCACAGTCATTTTTATTTCAAAGACCCACTTTTTAACGTATGGTACAAATCTAAATTCAACTTAATAGGAAAATTAACAATACACGAATACATTTTTGTCATTTTGATATTTATAGCAAAAAAAAAAATTAATATATTATCGTTTTATTAGTAGATTTTATTAATAAAATACGATATTTTATTTTAAAAAAACTTAGATTATAAAAATTTAAAACGTTTTTTTTGCTTTTTATAATTTTTTTCATTAGTTGATAAAAATGGGAAAGAAAAAAATTCTATTAAGGATTACAATGATATATATTCCTAGTTTAGATTAAACTTCATAAAATAAAATACTTGATTTTGAAACAAAAACAAAAATACCTTTTAAATTAATCTAGATTAACTGTGAAATTCGTCTACTTAATCAGTATTGGTTACTTAACTGGTAAGTCTAACCACCCTAAATATTTAATATAATTTAATAACTATTTCTTTGCCTTGAGATAACAAAATAAAAAATATATATTAACATAATACGTTTGTATTAAAAAAAAAAAATTATAACAAAAAAAGGCGGATCGCGTCAATTAAATTTATTTCGACCAACTCTTCTATTAATTCTGGATATGCTCCAACTTATATAAAGACAAAAAATATTATCCAAAAATCTCTTAGTAAATATTAAGAACTAAACACAAAACGCCATAGGCGTAGCTTGAACTAAATTTCTATTAATGAGTTTCATAATATTGGTTAATAGAGCCGATGGGAGTTTCTTTATTTTCACATTCAACTGCCTACAAAAAATTTAATTTATTTTTGAAGTCTACGAATTTTTCAGTGAGGATTTAAGTCCCTACAGTTCCTATGTGAACTACGTTAATGCAAAACACCCCTCTAATATGATTATCAATAAGTTCGATTTTAAGGATTTATTCTATTAATGTTAAGTTTCAGTTATTTATTCAATCAAGACAAAATTTAAATTGATTTAGTTATAATAGCTATTAACAATTAAAATGATCACTAAATAGGGTAAAATAATTTAGGTGAAATTATGTGTTTTATATTTCAAACAATAATAAGAAACTGTTAATAATTTGTAATCTAGCGTGAAAAAATTATACAGATAATCTATACATTTTTAAAATTTTTCCATGGAATAATAAAAGGTTTTTAGCAACAATTGTAGCTTATAATTTATTCATGAATTTCTTCATGTTAGTTTTACCTTTTATTTATACACAAGAGGATATCATTGAATGCTTGGACATTTTTTTAAGTATGAATAATAATAATTACCAATTTATACGTTTTTGAAATTGTTATCACAATTTTTTTTTTTTTAATTTTAGTTCAAAAATACCCAGAATAATAATTTTATGTTATTTTAGCGAACAACACATTTTTAACACGTTTAAAATAAAAAAAATACCGGCAGATACGAACATGCGTGATTATAAACCGCACATGCGACAGAGTCGAAGAGTTGAAAACTACACCAAGTACATGCGTCTACTATTTAGATTCTGATTGTGATATTCATTCAAAACTCGTTGTAGCCTATTTTTGTAGTAGGAAGGGCGTTACAACTGGCAACAGTGGGTTGAAAACCAGTATACGAACAGGTCAAAAAAATTCTCTTAAAACTTACTGGTAAAGTATCAACATATACTTGTGATTACAAAAAAGTTATCATATTAGTACGACACATATTATTACATAAATTTAAATTTAAAAATTCAAGTTTTTATTATTATTAAATTAACAGATTTGTCCATGTTCTTATTATATTAAATTACTGTAACATTGGTTAATTATAAATAATTGTTGTAATTTTCCTAAATAGGCTGTGTGAATGAGATTATACATATGATCAAGCAAATAAATTTATTTATTTTTTGTTAATTTCCTGTTAAAATTCTTAGAAGATTAATATAGTGAAAATCGTTGTTATTATTTATTAATATATTTGTTTTTTCATCGAACCCCAGATTTAATTTAACTAAAACAAAGGGATAGCCAACTATTTTATAATTTAAAATGTAGTTGCCCGTTTCTGTGGATTAATAACAAACATAAATATTTATAATTAGTATTATTTATCTACAACCTAAAACAACAAAAATTTAAATAATTAACTAAATATTTTAACATTAATAATTTAAAAGCGTAGTTTTTATAAACGTCCAAGTATTTGATAAACATTTTATATTAAACAATATATATTATAATATAATTATGATATATTTATAAAATTACTATTTATTTATTTTTTTTTAAGCAAAAAATGAACAATTCTTTTTAATTTATTATTATTTAAATTGATCTAAATCGTGTTGTTTTTAGGGTTTGAGGGAACTAGATTCGAAAACCATCTAAGTTAGTCTTTAAAAAAATATTTTTCATTGGTGTGGCATTTGTTTAGACCATGATAAGATCTATAAATCACATAATTATTTTAAATATTTAATATTTTTTATGAGTGTTCTAATTACACAAAATTAAAATAACATACTCTTTAATTAAAAACGGTTGAGCTTACAAGATTTATAATTATCAATTAAGTTTATACACTGATTGTTTTTAACAACTTAATTATTATTAAGCATCCGGACAAAGATTATTAATCAATAATTTGAATTGTACTTATTATATCATTTTTATTGTTCAATTTAAATAATCCTTACTACAGTGTTAAAGGTTATTTTTAAATTCTAGATAATTTCTGTCGCATTCAAATAAAACAAACTAAATTCTATGACTGCAAACATTAAAATCTACTAATTAGATAGTCCGTATATTTAAATTAAGTATTGTATAAAACATGTATTACTAAATATTATAAAAAAATATGTATTTATTCATGAAAAATGAAAACAGTTGTGTGATGACACATAATAAATAAAAAAAAACGTTTTATTTTTTGATTAAAAACCATTTAAACAATATAGCCCATGATTTTTATTTAGACTGAAATTAAGATGGGAGTTTGACCTGGTTCTATAGTTTCTAGAATATTTTTGCTATCTATTACTTTTTTGTTTTAATTTGCGCTTACATTGAATAACCATACAAAAAACGTATATTTTGTCAACCACATGTATAGTAGCTTAAGTGTACTAAATATATGAACACATGTCATATTTCTCATTATCTGTCGTATCAGCTGTTACCATTTTTTTTTTTTATCAAACAATGCCATGCCTCTGTTTTTAACACTTCAAAGTTTAAAAGCCTTTTAAATTTGGTTCCCTCAGTGAGTAATATTCAAATTTTTTTTCATTATATAAAATGAAATATATTGAACAAATAGTTAACTACTCTACTTCATTTAAACTTTTTTTTACATATAAAAAATAGGAAATGCTCATATAATACTATTACAATATAATATTGTTAATAATTTTGAGAATGATTAAGTGTCCGTTGCTAATATACTCAATTTTTCCTATATTATAAACTTATTTCTTAATTTCCTATAAAAACTCCTAGTAAAATATTTACTATATATATACATATACTAAGGTGATCCCAAATGTTTTTTATATTTTTATTTTTGGCCATATTGCTATAGTAGCCCCCTATGGGTTTAAAACTATTATAAAAAGTAGATTAAAAAAAAAAGAAGAATATCTAAAACTTGCAAGTTTAAGTTTT